GACTTGTTCTCCAGGCCCTTTACCAGCTTCACCAGCCCGGTGACCTGCACCCTCCTCAGTCCCAGTAATGTCCCACCAACACATCTTCTCTCTCCCCCAGTTCCCCGGATTTGATGACCTTTACTGCAAGTTCTGCTTCGTCTACGGCCAAGACTGGGTTCCCACAGCAGTAAGACCCCACAGTGCACCCCTGAAACCCACCCAGCCTGCCAGGCCAGCCGGCAGCATCTGCCTAAGGGCTTAGTGCAGGTCCCTGGCTCATGCCTCACTCTCCCCACAGGGTCTGGAAGAGGGCATCTCCCAAATCACCTCCAAGAGCGAGGTCGCACCCACCACACTCGTCTGGAACTTCCCCATCGACATTACCTTCAAGAGCACCAACCCGTCCGGCTGTGAGTGCGAGGGGTGGTGGGATCCAGCTTGCAGACCAGGCTCCCCTCTCACACAGGCTTCACTTGCAGGGCCACAGATTGTCATCAGCGTCTACGGACCTGATTTTTTTGGAAACGACGTAGTCAGAGGTTATGGAGCTGTTCATGTTCCCTTCACACCTGGAAGGTGAGGTGACAACCTGTCAACACTAAAATTGAGATTTTTTTATTTTTTTTTTCCCCAGTTACTATGTTGTTGCAGAAACAAAAATGATCACATATCTCCTTATCATGTTTTCTCTCTTTGGTACAAAGCACATGAATTTCCTAGCAGCAGTCCCTGGTTATCAAATAATTTGTTTGTAATCCTGGAGGTAATTCTGTAAAGTCAAAACTGGCCTGAGGAAAGCCCAAGTATGAAGTGTGGTACATTAGCTCTCCCCCATCAATCTCAGCACATGCTAAGCTTTCATTCCTGCCTCTGGAAATGGAGGAAGATATGTTCTTCCTCTGCAAAGAAACCCTTTCTTTGTGGAAGGGAAAGTATTTTTACCTTGAGCTGTTGAGTGGTCTGATGTGTCTGAAATCCTGGTACCTTTATAAGAAACCTCACCAGCGCTGTTTGGTTCATTCATTAAGTTTGGTGTGTCTCATGTTTGTTTCAGGCATACAAGAACTATCGCTATGTTTGTTCCAGAGTCCACATCTAGGCTGCAGAAATTTACAAGGTAATAATTAAAAGATTATTTTTCTTCTTTTTATGATACCCTTTATGTAGAATTTACACTGTCATTATTATATGTTTGTATTCTGTGCACCTCTGAGGTATTCAGAGTATCCAAGCCTTTCTGCTGCTCTGGGTAATTAAAGTTTCACAAACATCTTTGCCATAGAAAGCTTCTGCCTAGCCCAGCAATAACTTAGATTTAACATAATGTGTATGAAAATGGTTTCATTTTTTCCTTAGAGAGACAAAGCTTATCTTTGATCCAAGTAGATCAGCAATAAAGTGAATCAAAACTCTACTGCAAACAACAGCTGGGAGCCTCATTACCCCCTCCCCTTTTTTTTAACATATATAATGACCTGTATCAAATCTAAACATGAGTGAATGGAACCAAGTAAATATTTTCTATTTTCTTCTCCAAGTTGGTTCACAGGGAGACGTCCAGAATTTACTGACCCCAGAGTGGTAGCACAGGGAGAAGGAAGAGAAGGTAAGTCCCTGGGAGCTCCTGACTGCAACCCTTGCATGACAGCAGGCCACAGCTTGGCCATCCATCTTCCTTTGGAAGAAAGACAAGTTGTTCCTCCTGAGAACAGTCCTAGCTGAATACGTGAGGAGTCCCAACAACTATTCAAAAACCTCTCTCAACCAGTTTTATTCACATCTTCTTTCTTCTAGTAACAAGGGTGCGATCTCAAGGCTTTGTGACCATTTCCTTCAACGTAGTCACCAAAGATATGAAGAGGTTGGGCTACGACGTCAGCCCGAGCGACATGCAGAGCTCTTCTCTGGTGCCTGTTACAGAGGGAATTCATAAGCATTGAACTCGAGCAGGAGATCTTCAAAGGCTCACAGAAAAGTGAGGGGCTTAAAGATTGAGTCACTTTATTGCTGAGCTACTTTGATCAAAGATAAGTTTTGCCTCTCTTAAGTTAAAAATAAAACCAATTTTGTTTTTCACTTTGGGGCTTTTTGCAGCAAAGGAAAAGGAGTGTCTGACTGAAGTGAGAAAATTTCACTTGGGACTGTTATTCCAAAAGAAACACAAGCTCATGAAGCTTTGGAATAATTACCTGAGTATCATCCTTTCAGTAAGCACACTGCAAGGTTAAAGTGTTATGTAAATTAATGTCATCAGATAACATTTAGCATTTTTATGAGCAATATCAGACTAATCTCAAAATAAGACCTGTAACAAAGTATTTTTTATAACAGCCTTTTGTACACTTTTTATATACTTAAAGAATAGGAAAGTTTATATATAGTTGTAGCAGTTTTCCTGTGTTTAAAACATGATTGCAAACCCACATCTTTTTACTAATGGGGTTGTTGTTTGTTTTTGTGGTAGAAATGGGAAATTGACATTATTGCACCTTCATAAAAAGGAGGGGATACAGACCAGTGAAACACACACACGTGTCTGTGCCACACGCTTCCCTCTGCAAAAGCAGCAGCAGTTTTCTTTATAATCCCAGTTTTCTTTATAATCCCCCACAGTCCTGCAGAGTTTGTGCAAAATAGCACATGCACTGTAGAAACAAACCTTTCCACGTTTCTTTTCAGTGAAGCAACCTGGGCTTTTGCCTTTAGAACAAGGTGATGACTCTTTCATGTTCACATTTTTTCTGTATCAAACTTCAGGAGGAAAGGAAGTGAAGGGGGGGGGGGGAAACCAGGACGGCAGTTTATTTCAGAGGAATTGGAGAGACCATGGTGTTAAACATATCCTTGCTGCATGACCTAAACTTCTGATGGAACAAAGTGCATTTTAAGTGCAGATATTGGCTAAAAAATAAATAAATAAATAATTTTTAGAGAAGGCTCTGCAAAGAACGTCGAGTTCCAGGAAGCCAGCGTTTAGCTCCAGCTCAGGTACCAGAGGCACAGGGGGGTGGGGAGTAGCAGAAGGAACCTTCTCCTCCCCTCAGTAGTTCCTTCCAGCCAGTACCTGACACAGATAACCTACCATGGATTTCCTTACCTGGTTTTCTTCTCAAGAAAAAACAATTTCAAGTTTGCTATATTCAGGTTTTCTTTCCCTTTCCATAACCTCAGAGAAGGACCAAAATGATGTTGGTTGTTCTTGGTGTTTGAGAGATGCTGTTCTCAGAGCTGCCTCAGTCTGAGGAGCTTCTCCTCTGATATCTTACCCTGGCCTTTCACTGAGCTAACCTTAGTGCTCTTCTTTTAGACTGAATAAACCCAATTGTCTAAATATATTTGTCTTTCTGCTGCTAGGGTTTTTATTTGTTTGTGCCAGAATGGATGTTTCCAAGTCCTAAATCACCCAAGATCTGCTATTCTTACAGGGACAAAAAGAAAAAGAAGTGTATGCTACACTGAAATGACTAACTGCTCTGTCATTTTCATATTGAAATTTGGGCATGTCATCTCTTGTGTAATATTCTCTGCAAACACCAGGTGATGACTGAGAATGACTTGACATGATACCAACCCTGCAAGTGATCGACCAAGAAATACAATAACACAGTGTCAAAGTGCAGAGCCTCCAGACACGCATCACAAAACATCCAGTTAGAGACAAGTACTGTCTCATGCTAAGAACTGTGACTGAATAAAAACAATTTCTGAAAAGGTAATAATGTTAGTAAAAGATAATAATAATAATAATAATAATAATTTTGCAGTAAGCATTAACTTCTTTTATACTATTTATAAACAATTTTCCAAACGTGGTTACAGATTATTTTTTCACCTCTTACTTTTTTTTCCCCCCCTATCTTGTTGTTGTTGGTTTTACACTCCCAGCAAGTTCCTCCACCGGTTGTTTTGGCAACTGTTGTAATCTCCAAACTGAGTCATGTTGAAATCCAAATTAATCAGTATTTCCTGTTGGCTCAGAGGAGATGCAAGGAACTTTGTTTCCTTTTCAAAAGTATTTGGGAAGCAGCTAGCTACAGTAGCAGGATAAATATCTGCGTTTGAAGTAATGAAAGGCAAATATTAACCCTACTACTACCACTTAAATATCCTTTTTCCCTTGAGCACAGTGACCTGCCCCCATTCCAATGAGAGCAAAACTGCACAACAGGGTTTCTAGTCACGAGAAACCTGTTAAACCCCGATAAAGCCCAAACTTTGTGCCCACAGGGGTGCAGTGAATTTATTCACACACAGCTTTGCAGTGTGGTACTACAGCCCATCTCCTGAATTGCTCCTGTTTCAGATGAGGAGTTGGATCCTTACCACACTGAGACCGATCCAAACCGGCACCCCCAAGCTGCAGGAACCCTCAAGAAAGGTTAAAAGAAAACAGTGAAAAGCAAAGGTTTAGAAAAAATAAAAACCCCAGACTTCATAAAACAGTATTTAAGAGATGGGACTCTACAAGCAGATCCCACGCTGCTACCTGCGTTATTGGGGCTTTTTACCTGTTGTCTCTGGGTTTGGTTGGGTTTCAGGGAGGGTTTTTTTGGCTCCTCAGTGCCTTGAGCATGTTTAAGAATCTCACATACCTTCTTCAAGGCCTTGACTTGCTGAGCTTGTCCCGCAGCGAAGCGCTCGCTTCTCGCTCTCACACAGTTTGCTCCTCACACGAGGGCACGTGTGGGGGTGATGTTTTCAGTAAGTGTTTCCCGAGTTCAATGCCATTCCTTTGTTCCAAGAGGCAACTGTTGTTATCTCTCATAAACACGCTCTCCTCCCAGACACAGGTTTGCTGCTGCCTTTATAATTTTCTGGAAAACTGTTTCTGCTTTAGGTCTTTGGTACTCAGAGTATTTGCAGCTGTGTCACCCTGGAGAGAATCTCTCCTCATGACAGAGGAGTAAAGATAGACACAACGCCGCGCTGCCGAGGGCAAGCGACATTAATAAGGGAGGGATTTATGACCCGTAAGTGTTCCTTGCAGTTAGTGTTAAAGGTGAAAAGAATCCAGGCTTTGAGAACAGCCAAAACCCAGAAAAACTCAGCCTTGCTGCAGCAGAGGCTCAAAGTCATTTCCTTCTGCCCACTCTCCAGGCAGCTGGAACCACCCTGCTCATTTACTGGTTAATCATTCTCCCTTCTATTCCAAACTGGACTGAAGTTCCCAACCCCTCGTAGCCCAGATGGCAGCGTGAGCCTGTCAGCTGGTGCTGTAGCTCCTGTTTTGTCACACTTAAATCTCTCCCAGACAGTGAAATTGGCCATTAACCTCCTAATTCAAGATGAGCAGGAAAAAAATAAAATAAAATCTTTATTCAGAACATGTGTCCTGACACAGGCAAGGCCATCAAAACAGAGCGAGACCCACTAGAGGTGAATGAAGCTGGTGAGATAGGTGGGGACTGTGCAGAAGTCCCTGGTTTGGAGGAGCTGTGGAGAGAGCTGCCCAGCAGGACCGTGCTCACTGCAGGGGAAGAGTTTTCCTCCCATCACCGTGGAGGAGAGAGCGCCAAGGACACGGACTGAACAGCAGCTTGGGAATCAAACCCTCCAGAAAAAGGAAAATCATTTGGGTAGCCTTTAGGAACTGATGTTTTCAGCCCTTTCTACCAAAACTAGAAATAGCAGCATCAGCTCCTGCCCTCTCATGGCAGTTTTCAACCTTTAGGAAGATGTTAGAGGTTGTTAATAACAATTAATTAACAAGATCGCATGAAGGATACCTCAGGTTTTCCCATTCCTACATGGAAAATTGCTCAATGCAATGGTGCCAGCTGCCCTGCCACTGGCACTTCCCTGAGAGCACGGGGCAAACACCTCCCAGTGCCATGAGCCACCCGAGCTGCCTCGCAGGGAGTGGGACTGAGCCAGGAATCGGCGAGTGCTGGAGAAACCATCTTCATCCTGAGGCTAGCAAGGCTATTTAACAACAGCAGTATTGCAGCAGCTAGAATTTATCTCCATCTGAAAATGAGAGTCTTGCAGGTGGATTGAAGTTGACAGCAACTGCTCCCCGGCAGCAGTTGTTGGTTTAGGAGCAGGAGGCTCCTGTGAAAATAGTCTAAAGAAAAAAGAAAGGAAAATAAAACACAAAACCACAGAACAGAGCAACTAGATATAAAGAAAATTGGAGCTTCAGCTCCAACTCTATCTGGACCTGCCACCAGCAGCATTTCAACCCATCACAAATCAGCCCCAGGATGACCCATTTGTGCCAAGGTCACTGGAGCATCATGCCAGGACCTGCTGCCTGGAGAGACGAGGGGCTGAGCGCCCTGGATCTGCAGCCCTGGACATGGGTCCATGAGGTGACAGGACAGGACAGCTGGGGTGGGAGATGGGGGTTACACAGTGTGAACAGCACCAGCGGTGACAGAGCTGGGCTGGCACCTGCAGTGTCTGGGGGACATCAGGCCCCACCAGCACCAGCAAGAACCACCTTCCTCTGGGCCTTTTCCCTGCAGTCTGGCAGTGCCAGTGGACAGCAGAGAGCAGCAGCTGGATGAGCGGGTGGCTGTGGCAGAGCCCACACAGGACATCCCAGGGTGCCCCTCAAATACACTCAAGGAACTGAGCAACCCCATGAGAACACGATGAATCCCTCTCCTGTACCCACCACCCAGCCCAGCTGGAGACCCAAGGTCCAGGCACACAAGCTTGTGCCAGTGGCATGTCTGGAGCAGCCACCAACAATTTTGAATGTCATCCAGGCCGTGCAAGCTCCTGAGCAAGAAGACAGCAAAGAGCTGAGCAAAGGCCACCCAGCCCCACACCCCCCCTGAGGGATGTTCAGCCCCTTCCCTCCTCTCCCCATTCATCCCCGAGTTCTCTTTCCATCAGCTGGGGAGTCCTCTGGGAAGCAAACGTGGGTGAGCTCAAACCCCAAGAGCTGAGGGATTCATGGGTGTTTGCAAACCCAGAAACAACCTCCATGTTC